GGGCCAAGCCTGGCTCAGTGCTCAGGAGTGACCCAGGCAGCTCGCAGGGGACCACTACCTGGTGCTGAGGGTTCTAATCTAATCCTGCCACGTGCAAGGCAAAAGGTGCCCTCCAGTCATCTCCCTGGCTTCCATTCTGAAATTACAGATGAATTTAACAAATCGTTTTATACCCAAAGGGTCACCCTGAGAAAGGACATCTCGTTCTCCACACCTGCCACGTTGTGGCTGTGTTGTTTGGAAAGATAATATAATGATCTTTCTCTATAAAAATCAAGGGGACCCAAGAGATAGCACAGCAGTTAGGTCATTTGCCTCATATAGCAGTCGGCCAGGGTTCGATCTCCAGCATCCCATATGGTCCCCAGAGCACCGCCAGGTGTGGCCCAAAAACCTAAATAAATAAATATAAATAATTTAAAAAAAAAAAGAAAAATCAATGATCAGATAACCATTCTGATACAAGCCAACTGCCACGATTAATAAGAACCAGAAAGGAATCATATCTTTGGTTGGTTTCACTCAAAATCAGGAAGCCCAAATACTCCCTTAAAAAAAAAACTAAAAAAAAAAAAAAAAGATAGGGGCATTTGCCTTGCATGCGGCCAACCCGGGTTCAATTCTCAGCATCCCATATGGTCCCCCGAGCACTGCCAGGAGTAATTCCTGAGTGCATGAGCCAGGAGTAAACCCTGTGCATTGCTGGGTGTGACCCAAAAACCAATAAATAAATAAATATTTTTTAAAAAGATAAAATAGAATGTTTTGCTGAATGGGAGTAAAACAGTCAAAAGCCATGGACCTTTCCATAACTCAGAATGTGAAAAACCCCACTCACTGCATTTTCTCACAGCAACATACATCGATATAAAATGTCAGAGTCACAGACTAAGAAATTCTAAATTAAATCTTGTCCGGGCATTCTCAAAAGTTTGTGCAAATTGGGCGGAGCGGGTGGGATTCAGGGTCACTGGTGGAGGGGTGGTCACCCTGGTGGGCGGTTCTTGCTGGGCCACTGAACACCTGAAACAACTGCACTGTGAGCAGTTTGGTAAATCAAGGTGTTCAAATAAAAGCGAATTTTTGAAAATAGGGAACCAGAGTGACAGTCCAGCAGGGAGGGTGTTTGCCTGGCATGTGGCTGACCCAGGTTCAATCCCCGGCATCCCACAGGGTCCCCCGAGCACCACCAGGAGTGATCCCTGAGTGCAGAGCCAGGAGGAATCCCTGAGTTACTGTGGTTAAACAGTGAAGACAGTTGTGGAAAGAAACACAACTTGAAACAAGATGCCATTTTATTTGAAAAATTTATTATTATTATTATTATTATGCTTTTGGGGTCACACCCAGCGATGCTCAGGGCCAACTCCTGGCTCTGCACTCAGGAATCACTCCTGGCAGTGCTCAGGGGACCCTATGGGATGCTGGGAATCGAACCCGGGTCGGCCGCGTGCAAGGCAAACGCCCTCCCCACTGTGCTATTGCTCCAGTCCCTGAACAATTACTTAAGGCTGACATCTGAGGGGGTGTCTTCCTGGGTCGTGCTACAATTCTGCACTGCCTCTGAGACACTCAAGGCAAGAGTGTCCAGAGAGTAAATAAACCGCAGCCCCCAGACAGCTGGATACTGTTACTCTGCGGGAGGGCCTCATTGAGAAACACAGTTGCCACAGCGATGCTTCAGTGTGTGAGGGTGGAAGTTTTGCCGGACCCTGGAAAATCCACGGTGGAGAATCTCTCCACAGGAAGTAAATAATCGTGTTTACAAACATTTACAGAAGAAGTCTGAGGCGAAACATTATTCATAGTAGCGGAAAACTACAAGCCTCCAAGCGAGCCTTCGCGATTTACACTCAGCCCGCCAGCACACCGTTTCCACAGCCTAAACACATCACACTGCAGGGAGGGAGTCCGCCATACGAGGCTGAAGCGGTTCATCCCTGGTACCAGTATGCCTCCCAGAGTGATGCTCAAGCACAGAACCAGGAGTGAGCCCTGAGCAGAGCCGGGAGTCAGCCCCGAGCACAGAGCCGGGAGTCAGTCCTGAGCACAGAGACGGGAATCAGCCCCGAGCACAGAGCCAGTAGAGACCCCTGAGCACAGAGCCAGGAGTCATTCCCGAGCACAAAGCCGGGAGTCAGCCCCAAGCACAGAGTTATTAGAGAACCCCAAGTACAGAGCCAGGAGTCATCCCTGAGCAGAGCCGGGAGTCATCCCCAAGCACAGATCCAGGAGGCAGCCCCGAGCACAGAGTCAGTAGAGAGCCCTGAGCACAGAGCCAGGAGCCAGACGCCAACAAAGAGCCAGGAGTCAGCCCTGAGCACAGAGCTGGGAGCCAGCCCTGAGCAGAGCCGGGAGTGAGCCCTGAGCACAGAGCCGGGAGTGAGCCCCGAGCACAGAGCCGGGAGCCAGCCCTGAACACTGAGCCGGGAGTGAGCCCTGAGCACAGAGCCAGGAGTCAGCCCTGAGCACAGAGCCAGGAGTCAACCCTGAGCACAGAGCTGGGAGTCAGCCCTGAGCATCACCAGGTGTGGCCCAAAAACAAAAACAAAAGCAAAAAGCCTAGAAATCTAGGGCATCCATCACTAGAGGCCGAGGGCCAGAGGGCCAGTCCCGGGGGTGTTTGCCCGGCACTCAGCCGACCTGTCCCCCCCCCACGCGGCACAGGGTCCTCAAACGCCCCGAGAGGGTCAGAGGCAGGGAAGCCCTGACTTGCCCATCCTGCCGCCCCTGCAAACTTTAACGTCTTTTCACAAATGGGATGACGATGCCGCAAACCTAGACGTGAGGCCACCTGTGTGAGCAGACCCAGAAGTAGCTGGTGTGTGAGACAAGTGCACCTCCGTGGGCTATTTCTCCTGACTGGATCACCGGACCAATGATATTTAACACGAACAATCCTTTAGAAGGATGACAACCATTTTTTTTTTCTACTTGCAAGGTCCTTAAAATCTGCAACTTTCTCAGGCTGGAGCAATAGCACAGAGGGTAGGGCGTCTGCCTTACACACGGCCGACCCGGGTTCGATTCCCAGCATCCCATATGGTCCCCTGAGCACCGCCAGAGGTAATTCCTGAGTGCATGTAACTCCTGTGCATCACAGGGTGTGACCCAAAAAGCAAAAAAAAAAAAAAAAAAAAAAAAAAAAATCTGCAACTTTCTCTAATAAAATTTAAACAAAGAACATGTTCATAATAAGTGAAAATTTAAAACCTGGACACACACACAAAAAAAACACAATAAATTAAACTGTAGACATTTGGGGGAGAAGTCTCGCAGTAACTCTTCTGAGTGTTGTTTCCTCTGTGTGTTATTCATTGTATTCAGCGATAAAAATAATTGGCTCATACTGTATGCCTACTTACTATTTTGTTTTGTTCGGGGGGCCACACCGGCAGTGCTCAGGGCTTACTCCGGGCTCTGTGCTCTGGGCTCACTCCTGGCTCTGTGCTCAGGGATCACTCCTGGCGATGCTTAGGGATCACTCCCCGCTCTGTGCTCAGGGATCACTCCCAGCTCTGTGCTCTGGGCTCACTCCTGGCTCTGTGCTCAGGACTGACTCTGGGCTCTGTGTTCAAGGCTGACTCCTGGCGATGCTTAGGGATCACTCCCAGCTCTGTGCTCAGGGCTCACTCCCAGCTCTGTGCTCAGGGCTCACTCCCGGCTCTGTGCTCAGGGATCACTCCCAGCTCTGTGCTCAGCACTGACTCTGGACTCTGTGCTCAAGGCTGACTCCTGGCAATGCTTAGGGATCACTCCCAGCTCTGTGCTCAGGGCTCACTCCCGGCTCTGTGCTCGGGGCTGACTCCTGGCTCTGTGCTCAGGGCTCACTCCTGGCTCTGTGCTCAGGGCTCACTTCTGGAAATGCTTATGGACACACATGGTGCGGCACTACCTCTCAAGTCCCTTGCACCTAATTTTATTGGGTTCAGTCTGGAATCTAAAATCTTGACTTCCAGGAAAGCAGTTTTCCCCCCTGCACACCAAATAAACATCTTGGTGTTCCAGAAGAGTGAAAAAAAAAAGTGATAATATGGGCACGAAAATAGCCAGTGTTGGTCTTTACTGAAAAGTCAAAACTCTTCAAGTTTGCTCCCAAGTTTACTTCTCAGTTCAAAAAAAAGTTTGAGCGCTGCCTTTTCCTGTGGGTTTGACAACTTCCAAAAGGTGTCTCCAAAGGCTGTAGAAACATGCGTGATTCCTTCAGGCGGGCCTGAACCAGCTGGGAGAGACAACCCTAAAAAGATCAGCTTTTCACCAAAAAAAAAAAAAAAGCCGAAGCTGGACCCTCTGCAAGCAGAAAACAAAACGCAAGAAACGGCGCAAGAAACGGAGGGACCGCGGGGCCGGCTCGCCCACCTTCCCCTTTGCGAAACCCGGGACCCCTTGGGGGCTCGCAGGGCCCTTGGTGCTCAGGTTCTCCGCAGAACGGACCTGCTGGGGCCGGGAAGAAGCCCCCCGCGACCCTTCCGCTGGGCGGCAGCGCCCCGCGCGACGCTTTGGGGAGACCCGGCTCGGCCCGGTTCTGGTCCTGCCCGCAGGAAGTTGTTGCAAAGGCCGTTCGGGGCAGCTGCAGACCAGAGCCGCGCTGCGTCCCCGGGCCCGCGTTAACCCTCGCCGCCCCGGAGCAGGGTCGCAGGGACCCTCCAGGGGGTTAACCGGGACCCCCCCCACCGACCCCCGCAGGGTGGGGCGCGCTCTGCAGACGTGGGCGGAGAGGAGGCCCAGCCCCTCCCGCCGCGCGGACCCCCGGCCCGGCAGCAGCAGCCCCGAAGGCGCATTTTGCATCGCTGCCCCGCGGGATCGCCTCCCCCCGCCCCCGCTGGACTTTCTGCCCAGTGCTCGTCGCAACCTGGCCCTGCGAGCGGACCCACGCTCGGGCCCGTCCCAAAGCAGCGGGAAGTGGGGAAGCGCGGCCGCCGCGGGCTTTCTGCGCGCACAAGGGCGCCAGGGACCCTCCGGGCGCGGGGACCCCCGGGGGCTCGGGGGCGCGAGCTTACGGGTGCGGCGCGGTGGCTCCGGCTGGTCGCGTCCCAGCTCCGGCGGCCCGGGAGGCCGGGGGCGGGGCCGGGGCGGGGCCTGCCGGCGAGTGGGCGGGCCCGGGGCGGGACATGCAGATGAGTGGGCGGTGACCGGGCGGGGCCGGTCGGTGTGCAAGTGAATGGGGCGGGGCCTGGCATCGTGTGGGTGGGACCGGTTTTGTGGGGCGGGGCCTGGCCAGTGGGCGGGGTTTGCCAGCATTTGAGCGGTGGTGGTTGTGGGCGGGGCCGTGAGGCGTGTGGGCGGGGCCTGGAGGCGTGTGGGCGGGGCAGCATCCCGGGCCTGCAAAGGTTTTAAGGTGGGTGGGGGAGGAGGAGGAGGAGGAGGAGAAGGAGGAGGAAGGTCCAGCACTACCCTGGGGATGCAAGAGCAAGATGGGAAAGATGAGCCACCCCAAAGCATTGCTGCCCCAACACACACACTCACACTCACACATACGCAATCACACACACATTCACACACTCACACACAGACTCACACACTAATACACACAACCACACACGCTCACACACTAACACATACACTCACACACACTGTTACACTCACACACATACTAATACACACACTCACACACACACACTCACACTAATACACACACGTTATTTTCCCAGGCATTATGGTTTCTAGCCCTGGTGAAATGGAGCTCCTGGGATTTCACCAGAAATCAGCGTCTTGCTGGTCATCAGCATCTCACTGCCAGGGTGCCAGCCGGCCCCTTCCCACCGCCCTTGGTAAGCTCTTTCCTAAATGTGGTTATTGTTGTCTGCGCCGCCTGTTGACAGTGCTCTCGGCCTTCCTGGACTCACTTCACCACCCCCGCAGAGTCTCCCTTCACCATTGTCCCTCGGAATTGAGGGTGAAAGGCGTTCTGGAGGGCAGAGTGCATCTCGTTGAGATTTGGGGATAAGGAATTAACCAGAGAACCAGAGAGATAGGATGGCGTTTGCCTTGCGTGTGGCTGACTGGGCTCCAGCCCTGTCATCCCGAGGGTCCCGAGAGCACAGGGCGATCCCTGAGTGTGGAATCAAGAGTAACCCCTGAGCGTCTCTGTGTGTGACCAAAAAAGCGAAAGAAAGAAAGAAAGAAAGAAAGAAAGAAAGAAAGAAAGAAAGAAAGAAAGAAAGAAAGAAAGAAGGAAGGAAAGAAGGAAGGAAGGAGAAAAAGAAATTAAACCACATTGAATTATAAGCTGGTAGTGTAAATGCATGTGTTTAACGTCACTGTAATTGAAAAGGCATGCTGTGGCCGTAGGGATAGTGAGAACGACAGGTAGGGCATTTGCTTTGCACACTGTGGGCCCAGGATTGATCTTGGGCACCCCATATTGTCCCCCTGAGCCCTACCAGGAGTGATCCCTGAGCACAGAGCCAGAAGTCAGCCCTGAGCATTGCCAGGTGTGGCCCAAAGACCCAAGCGGGGAAAAAACTGATAATTAAAAATAAAGAAGGGGTCCTCTGTAAAAATCTATTCAATTCCAAAGGAATCGATATCTTCAAAGATTGGTTCACACAGACTTTGTGGTTTCGGTCACTGGGGCTTCTGGTTTTCGCTCAGCACTCCACTCACCCTTCCCTCTCTCATGTCATCAGCAGAGAACGTCTCAGACCCTCCTTTCAATCTGGCTATCTGCCTTCTGTGGCCAAGCTCCGGATCCCTGTGGTCTCCATTTCCCCCCCAAAGTTCGTCTATCCTGCCTGTAAAAGTCCTGCTGTGAGCCAGGAGCGTGGCCCCTTCCTAACAAGACACTGAATTTCTGGAGAGGGAGCACTCTGCTCCTTCAGTTTCACCAGGTGCAACCGGAACAGGTTCTGTCTGTCTTATGGTGGGGCTACACCCGGCGATGCTCAGGGCTGACTCCTGGCTCTGCACTCAGGGACTAGTCCTGGCAGTGCTCGAGGACCCTATGCGATGCTGGGAATCGAACCCGGGTCAGTTGCGTGCAAGGCCAGTGTCCTCCCCGGTGTGCTATCGCTCTGGCCTCTTCATTCCCAACTTTCAGGAAGAAAAACTCCCTTGAACCACAGCTTCACGGCCCACCCGTGAGAAACTCTTCAGCAGGGAGGGCGACTCAGCTTCAAACACCGTGAGGGGGCCTGAGAGAGGCCAGCAGGGAGGGCGTCTGCCTTGCACGTAGCTGACCCGGGTTCGATCCCCGGCATCCGAGAGGCTGCCCCAAGCCCTGCCAGGAGTGATCCCTGAGCACAGACCCAGGAGGACATCCTGAGCATCACCAGGTATGGCCAAGACAAGTGAACAGCAGCCAACAAAAACCCACAGTGCGATGCTGGCCTTCTCCAGTTCGACCAAATCTTCATTCTTGCCGTGAAGAAACACCCCTGAAGGTATGTGTCCCCCTGGGAGTGAACTTGGGGGCTCCCAGGGTCCTCCTGGGGCCTCCACTGGTGCCTTCCTGCCGTGATCCTACTCACAGTCAGTGTGGTGAGCCCACAGGTTTCACTTCCCCGGACACGTTTGCCAGACTGTGTTCCAGAAGAGTCTGCCTCCACCCAGGGCTGGTCAGACCTGGCCTCACTGTCCACCAGCCTCAAGGCCAGTCAGGAGCTAAGACCCGTCTTCCCTGGGCGTGTCCACCAAGAAGATGAATCAGAGAGGCCAGGCCAGAACTATACACAGGGTGGGGAGGGCTGTCTCCTGGCACAAAGCCAATCCGTGTTCAATCCCCGGCACCCTATAGGGTCCCCCAAGCACAGACAGGAGTGATCGTGAGTACAGAGCCAGGAGTCAGCCCTGAGCATCGCTGGCCCAAAACACAAATGAAAACATTGTATGACCAAAACCCACAATCTTGAACAACTTTGGAAAAATTAAAAAACACAACCCCCCACCCCAGGGTTAGGGAGACAATTTTGTTGTCGGTTTTAGGGACCAAGTGGGTTCTCGGGGGTCCCAGGGGGACCCAGGATCTCACACGTGGGCTGGGACATGTGCCCTGTTCCTGAGCGCCATCCCTGGTCCCACGAATAAGCTTCTTCTTCACTTTAATATTTCCATCAATCCCCAAATGATCAAGGCTATGAAAGAGTCCGCCTAATTCAAACTCTTGGAAAATCAGCCAACTCACACACTGTTTTACAGATTCATGACAACATTGAGGAGGAGTGTGGAAACTAATTCCTGGAATTCATGTGATGTAGGGAGTGATGTCACCCTTGGCTGTAACGACTGCTTTAAAACAGATGTGAGGGCTAGGGTGATAGATAGCACAGTGGGGAGGGTGTTGGCCTGGCACATGGCCGACCCGGGTTCAATCCCCAGCATCCCATAGGGTCCCCCGATCACTGCCAGGAGTGATTCCTGAGTGCAGAGCCAGGAGTCAGCCCTGAGCATCGCCGGATGTGGCCCAAAAAGAAAAATAAAGTAAAATAAAGCAAATGTAGTGAGACTGAAGTGATAGCACAGCGGGGAGGGTGTTTGCCTTGCACACAGATGACCTGGTTTGATCCCTGGTATCCCATAGGGTCCCCTGATCACCACCAGGGATGACCCCCAACAAATTATAAAAATTAAAAGAAATAAAATATTGTGTCAAAATTGACTTTTAATGGGAACTTCTTTTTTTTTTCCTGCTTTTTTGGGTCACATTCAGCGATGCTCATGAACTTACTCCTGGCAGTGCTCAGAGGGCCATATGGGATGTTAGGGATTGAACCCGGGTCGGCTGTGTGCAAGGCAAAATGCCCTCCCCACTGTGCTGTACCTCCAGCTCCTTAATGAGAATTTCTTAAGGAACATTTCACTTTTAATTTCCAAGACAAATGACATCTTTCTACCCGGTACATCATTAAGGGACTCTTGCTAATCTGTAAATCTGCTTCTGTCAAAAAAAATATTAATTTGCAACACCCAAAGCACTAAGGTAAGAAAAAAATAGAGGAGTTGGGCAAATAGCCAAAGCCCATTGCACATAGAGATAATCCGGTTAGACCTGAGACTCGGAGATGAAGTGCATGGCCAGAGACTTACCAGATTTTACAAATGGGGCGTTTCATTAATATTTAACAATCTTTGGCCAGAGAGATGGGACATTTCCATCAAGGGCATTTTCCTTGCACGCAGCTGATCCAGATTCTATCCCTAATACCCCATAAAGTCTCCCAGCACCTCCAGAAGTGAGCCGTGAGCACAGAGCCGGGAGTCAGCCCTGAGCACAAAACCAGGAGTGAGCCCTGAGCACAGAGCTGGGAGTGACCCCTGAGCACAGAGCCAGGAGTGAGCCCTGAGCATAGAACAAGGAGTCAGCCTTTAGCACAGAGCTGGGAGTCAGCCCTGAGCACAGAACCAGGAGTGAGCCCTGAGTACAGAACCAGGAGTGATCCCTGATCACAGAGCCAGTAGCGAGCCCTGAGCACAGAGCCAGGAGCAAGCCCTAAGCACAGAGCCGGGAGTCAGCTCTGAGCACAGAGCCGGGAGTCAGCCCTGAGCACTGCCACATGTGTTATAAAAACAAACTTAGTCTTCAAAGTACAGCCCCCCAACCCTCACTCACTTATATTCAAGCAAGTCATTTTATTCTTGGTTGCACCTAAATTTGGTTTTGGCTTCTAAAAATTATGAAGAGCTATTTGGGGAATGGAGGTGTTTTGGGGGATGCAGAAATCGTTCTGTTTCAGTTCCTGAGGTTGAAGGAACCGTGGGCGTAGATGGGACCCCCTCAGGCTGCCCTGGTATTTCTCAGGACACAAGGAGAGCCAGGAGCCAGCCCTGAGCACCGCCAGGTGGGACCCCGAAACCAAAGCTTGGGAGAACAGCAGGAAGGATCAGGAGCTGGGCCTCGTTCTCAGCCTGTGCCTCCCCCAGGTCACAGTTCCTCTTTACCTCCACACCGCAGGGCAGGACTTTGCCTTCCCTTGACAGGTACTCTCGGGAGTCTGTGGTCGCCCAAGTGGCCGGTGCAAGGCGTGGAGGAACACGGGATAGGGGAGGAACCGGTCCTTCTCCTCCCCCGCCCAGAAGGACCCAGAGATGTTGCCTA